TTAAAAGATACCTTGTTTGGATTCAAAAAAAAAAAGACACAACAAAATTCACTACAATGACAAACAGCTTAGACACAGTCGGTGTTAATTTCATCATGTCCCATTCCTCTGTAAAATACTAAAAAAACTGAACTCTCTTCAAAGCATCGTTGTATTAAAAATTAACGGGACATGACAAATGTTTTTTAGGCCTATGTTAATGAGATCAACAATTTTAATTTGCAGCATCTTCGACGGAGGTGTGATTTAAATCTTTCATTCGCAGTATAAGTTAAAGACATATGCAAAGCAGTTAACTAACTAACTAACTAGATGGCTTACCGAACCCGAAGGTTCATCACCGAATTAACCAAAGCCCTCCACCGGACTCTGTCCTGGGCCAACAAAATCCAGTCTCCTTCAACTCACAATACTGGGGGAGGAGTACAGATTTTTAAGCTCGTCATTGTGCAGTTTTCTCCACGCCCCATCGTCTTCCCTCTTAGGCCCAAATATCCTCCTCAACACCCGATTCTCAAACACCTGAAATCTGTGTTCCTCCCTCTGAGTGAGAGACCATGTTTCGCACCCATACAAAACAACAGGCAAAGCAGCTACGACAGTTTTTGGCAAACTGACAGCAAGCCTTTTTCACTTCGTTTAACAAGCAAACTCGGGATTAATTCTAGAATATTTAAAAAAAAAAACTAGCACAAAAGGAACTAGATAAATAACATTAGAACAAGCCAAGGCCTTGACGTGATGAATGTTTTCGCTTAATCTAAGTTTTATTTGATTTGTAAAAACGAGAATCCAACACATCACCTATTAACGCGTCTGTTATTATTACATTATATATTATCGGGCCAAACAGAAACTCCGGTACAAAATGTTCCCCATTCCAGAGAACAAAGCTGTTTTCATTTTGTGTCATTTTCTCATTTTATATATGAATGAGGATAAAAGTTCAACTGTGTCAAGTATTTTAAACATCCAAAAGATTTAAAATGGCGGGACGCTGGAGAAAAATCGTAAAAAAGGAGCTCCATAGTTCGTATTCTTCACCAGATATCATTAATGCGATCAGAACACGGAGGATGAGATTGGCGGGGTATGTAGCACGCATGAGGATAATAAAAGACCTAAGCGTAAATATGAGGATAATATTAAAATAAGTCTTAGGGAAATAAGATTTTGGGGGGGGGGTGGATTGGATTCCTCTGGCTCAGGGCACGGGCCGATGGCTGGCTCCTATGAACACGACAATGAATCTTCAGGTCCCATACTATTCGCTTCGTGTAGTTAGTTAAACACTTTTATAAAATCTTAGATTTCCCTGAAAGACGACGGGTTGAACCTGAATACGAGAACGCCATGTAAAGCAAATGTTTTTGTCTGTAACCACGCTGTTCAATTTCCATGCTACGACTCAGCACATTCCTAGCAGCTAGTTAAACGAGGCATCATCCTGAGAATGAAGCGATAGTATGCAAAAACCTTATTAGTTTTGTCATCACTGGCCACTGTTTTATTTTATTTTGTAATATTTCATATTAAAAAAATCTAACTAAACTTTCCTGTCTTAACCGGTCATCCAACTCAGACCTTCCAATCAGCAGTTGACGACAACTCTGCAGACTAAACTAACACGGTTCATTGTCTAAAACAGCCTAGGACAATTTGTTTATACAAAAGATGGCTGTCTTCTGGGTTGTTGCACCGTCTGGTAGGAGTTTATCTGCGTTTCAGAGGTTTTTGCTGCCTCCATCATCAGGGAGATCTACCATACTACACGGCGCAACAACCCAGAAGACAGAAATCTTCATACTCTGATGACGGAGGCAGTATGACCTCTGAAACGTTGGTTAACATCGACCAGTATACACGGCCCAACAACCCAGAAGACAGAAATCTTCATACTCTGATGACGGAGGCAGTATGACCTCTGAAACGTTGGTTAACATCGACCAGTATACACGGCCCAACAACCCAGAAGACAGAAATCTTCATACTCTGATGACGGAGGCAGTATGACCTCTGAAACGTTGGTTAACATCGACCAGTATACACGGCCCAACAACCCAGAAGACAGAAATCTTAATACAATTTTTGTTACCGTTATTAGCTACTTTAATATAACGACTTTGGACTGCAGGTTGGTCTGCGTAGACCAACATCCTTACCACGGTCCTTACAAGACGCAAAACTGCTACAACAGCATATTGCCATTAGTAAGATTCTGTAAGTCCTTGACTCCTTATGAACAATATGACGAATCTTTGGAACAAGAAGCTGCTTAGAGTGAAATGGTGGATGAAATAATGGAATCTCCATTAAGTTCGCAAGAGACAATAGCGTGGCTTTGTGTAGCGGTAACATGAAGCCAGACTTCCGGAGAATGATCATCACAGAGAGAGAGAGAGAGAGAGAGAGAGAGAGAGAGAGAGAGAGGGAGATGCCATTACAACTGTGTACTTCGTACACACGTTCAGACAAATATTAGTTGTCTGTCTATAACAAGCAAATGGAACTCAAACGTTCATTACCACTCCCAGACAAGGAAAGAAGTTCAGTTACAAATTTCCATGGAAGGACATCGAAAGATTACCTAAAATTTAGTGTTTTCGGAACAAAAATGAGAATAGTTGGTCAAAATCTCATGTAACTCTGCTATACTGATTTGAAATCACTAGTGCCGTTTGGATGCTGTTTATAATTGTAAGATTTGAGGTTTTGACAGCGGTGAGTACGAAGATTTCTGTCTTCTCGGTTGTTGCGCTGTGTAGTCTGGTAGATGTTTACCAACGTTTCGGAGGTCATACTGCCTCCGTCATCAGAGTATGAAGATTTCTGTCTTCTGGGTTGTTGCGCTGTGTAGTCTGGTCGATGTTTACCATCGTTTCAGAGGTCATACTGCCTCCGTCATCAGAGTATGAAGATTTCTGTCTTCTGGGTTGTTGCGCTGTGTAGTCTGGTCGATGTTAACCAACGTTTCAGAGGTCATACTGCCTCCGTCATCAGGACGATGAATGATAATGACAGGGGAAGGGCGAAGGACTCGGAGAAGAGCCTATCCCAGTGCCACTAGATCCCACAAGGGAGTAAACCCGGACCTCCGCTGTTACTCGTCGACGGATGGACGTTTCGAAACCAGCGTACGATGTTCTTAATTTTGTTTAGGAACGAGCTTTAAAATATACGGACATTATTAAAAACCACAAGGAATCGGAGTTTAGGCCGTAAGAACTTGTTCCGCTGTGGACGTTAAACGGTAAAACGTCAAGGGAATGAACAGATGGATTTTTACTGACAAAGAGTAATTTTTCCTGAAAAGGGAAAAACTGAAACTTCGTTCCGAACAAATTGCGTGAAGACATGAGCTTGGAAATAGTAGAATCTGTGGAGGCCCCACGAGACACAGACGCGTTCAAG